TTTTCTGGCAACTAAACCCTTGCTATTGAGTATATTTTTTTCTTATAACTATATAAATATTTATTTCTCTAACCATTGCCCAGGTTTTTATGTTTATTATTGAGTTATTCTTGCTCCTTGACACCAAACCAATTATTTATAAAGCCCATAACCTATACAGTACTTTGAACTACTCATACCGTTAATACATTGGGAAATGTTAAACCTCAATATATACAATATTATAGAAAACCTAAGCAACTATTCCTATACAAATACAATATGTTTGTTAAAGTAGGGAAAAGTAGTTTAAGTTTTGTGCCATACTGTATATTTTGTATGATTTTTATAAATATAAGTCAAGTGTTTTTCTTTGTGTATTTGTATTTCAATACAGGATATAGATTGTTCAACACCTAAATGCCTGGTTTCCTTACCCCCCCATACAATCTTTGTCTTGCAATTTCAAGTGTGTGTTGTGTGGTGAGGTGCTGTGCCCGCTCTTTGGAAAACCTCAAAAACAATATTTGTATGACTGTTTATTCAACAGCTTCCTTTTTGTGCGTGTTTTCTATATATTTTTCCCAACTATTAGTTAAGAAAACATGTGTGGATATATCTCAATGTATGTTTAAATCATTATTTCTATGTTGAGTCTCAAGTATGGATATGTTCTATATATTATATTTGTTAACACTTGAAACGCACATTGTTTTTTTCAAGTGTTTATGAGAGTTTAAAGTTGCCATATAGAAAGACATTATAATTAGGCGTTTTTTTTTTTTCAATCGCAATAAGGAAAAAGGTTTGTCTTTGTAAAGAGAAGTTGTAAAACCGACTTTTAACAAACGCAAAAAGTCGAAGATGAAAAATTCTCAAACATTTTCTCATATTCTTTACAAACAAGTTGATGGCATCATTTGTAAACTTATTAAAAATGTTTGTCAAACATTTTCTAATTAGTTAAAGAAACACTCCCAAAAATTTTCCTAACTAAATCCCTTAGGGCCTGACCCTTTAAAACTTCTTTTCTAAAATTCCCTAAACTGCTAAACATGTTCCATACAAAAAACCACTCTTTTACTTAACTGTCAATTTCTATGCGTCATCTAACCATCCTCTAAGTAAACATTAGCACAAACTGTAACATCCCCATATAATTTATGCTGTTAAAGCTGTCAAAAATATTACACAAAGTAAAGATAGACAGGGTGAGAAAGATTTTAATAGACAATAGTAGAGAATATTTCTAACATATGTATGTATGTATGTTAGATAGAAAGTACATATGCATAAATATGGTGGTGGTAGCATAAAAATAGACAATTGAAATGCAATTAAATAATTTAGAAAAAAACAACAACAAAACAAAAGACCCCTAAATAAAAGTCAAATTCTACAAATTAAGTAAATAACACAAAACAACAAATGTCAGCAGCAAAGCAGAGCGAACACTAGGCTTAAAACAAATACTAAACTGTCAAACAACTAAAAATACACTGTGAACAAATTTTGTTTTTATTGCAACAGTTTGTAGGGTAAAAAACAAAGTTTACTAGAATTTATGTTAAAAACTTATTGTAAACAACTGTCAAAAACCTAATATACACTTAGAGAAAACATGACTAGGATTTCATTAGTATTGATAATATTTACTTTAGTTTTTGTTTATTTTTGTTTTTTTTTTTTTCTTAACTAATAATTAATTTAAAGCATGTTAGCAAATCATTGAGAGAAAAAAACACAATAGTTTTTCATAAAAACTAGAGCGTAAAGAAAATTTTTAAAGACAAAAACGCATAGTGTTTTTTATAAGTGAAGTTTGTTTTTCTTTTTTAATTTTTGTTTTCATTGTTAAATGAAATAAATAATAAGTTTGTTGGTAACTATTTATCAAAAAAAAAAAAAAAAAAAATGCTAAAAAATTAAAAATGAAATTTTTGTTTGAAGAAATGTTTGCAAAAACTTCAAAAAAAAAAAATTTAAAAATTTAATATAAAATATGAACAGATTTTAAAAGCTTATACATTTAGCTTAATTTAACTTTTTAACTTGTCATATTGAATGTTTACACTACCAGTAGACATAACAGTAACTAGTTGTATGTCGTTTTGACAGTTTGAAAGCTTAAATTGTTTCTTTTTACAAATTTAAAGAGATTTCTTTAAAATTTCAAAATATTTGCAATAAATAAATGAAAATGTTTCTATTTGTTATTAAATCAAAGTACCTTAAGTGAAAAAAGTACCAAGTTTTTAAATTAAACCGAAAGCGAAGAAAATTTAAAAAAAAATTTTGTACGACAATAAAGTATTTTCAATAAATTACTTTTAAAGGTCATATTTTTTATTAAACCAATATAACGGCAAAAAGTACCTTAAGCAAAAAAAGTACCAAATTTATTATTTCTATAGAAATTGAAGAAATTTTATACAAATTTAAAGAGATTTCTTGACAATTTAAAAAAAATTTTCAATAAATAAAAGAAAATGCTTATATTTGTTATTAAAAGAAAGACAATGTAAAAAGTACCTTAAGTGAAAAAAGTACCTAAATTACTAAAATTGAACTAAAAACGAAGTTATATTAAAAAATTTAAAGAATTTTTTAAAAAATATTAGAAAATTTTCAATAAATTCTTTAAATAACTTGTATTTGTATTAAAACAAATCAAATTAATAAAGTACCTTAAGGGAAAAAAGTACCAAATTATATATTTGAATGAAAATTTAAGAAATTTTTAATAAATTTAAAAAGTTTTTTGAAAATTTCATAACATGTTCAACTAAAATATTGAAAATTATGCCATTTAATATTAAAACAAAGAAATTGGTACTTAAGCTATAAGGGGAAAAAAAAGTACCAAATAGCAAATATGTAATTTGCTAATAATATTGAAATATTTTTTGCTAGAATTTTTTAAAATTTTTAACTTTTCTATAACGGTTGTTATAAAAATAGTACAGTTAGCAAAAAAAATAAATGACAACAACCCCCAAAGGATACAACCCACACCTCGATTTTGCCACCCTGTTTAACAAGACTAGCCTCTTTATTTAATGCTTTAAATGAATCATAGACGACAACGACATCCCCCTTTTTTAAAGCCTCAAATATACAACAAATTCCGGGTTAATTGTGGTATAGTAGTGTTGTAGTCATATTGTAAATTCCATAATTTATTGTGTGAAAACTAAAAGCTTGTTGCCTTAAGGAGGGCGGGGGGTAGAAAAAGAAATCCTTTATCCGTTTTTGCCGTTTTGTGTGTCATCACTGTATAACAATAATCCGGCTTAAGTTGTCCATATTATTTTCTTACATTTTCTTAATAAATATACAGAGAGGGCCTTTTAGTAGTTTGGCTAAAGGAACAAAAAAAAATTGTCAAGATTTATTGAAGTGTGTATGCGCTGATAAGTTTGTATTACCCTGCTAAGTTTTTAATAATAAATCAAGCAAAACTTTTCCTAGCGGAGTTCAGTTCCTTTTGCATTGTTATGGTTATAATGAAATTAAATCTATTTATCGTTTTGGGATTTTAATCAGTGCAATCAATATGATTTCTTTTTTTGGGTTTTCCTCTTATTCTTATTTTTTTGGTGTGTGCCAAAATAGCGGAAAAAATTAAGAAGAAGATTGGCTGCAAGGAAATATTGTAGTTGTAGTTTTCCAATAATATTTCAGTTTATGTCTATGGGGTGTAATTAAAGATTTATGGTTTTGCTACATGTTTTTATGTACCAAAAAAAAAAAGAAAGACAAGAAATTAATTTTTATTGCTTTTATCAGCTATAAAAATAAAAGAGAGGGAGGAATTTGTTATAAAAAGTATAGACATAGTGTATTATGGTTAAAAATTTGCACTAATTTTATGAAAAGATTCAATACAATATAACATAAGCTTTAAAATATAAGAAGAATATAAAGTGCGGCATAGTTTAAGGCGTTTTAAATAAAATAAAACTAAAGTCTAACACTCAAACTGAAATATTGATAACTTTTAATAATTTTTTATAAAATTTCAATAATATTTTTTTAAAAACCAATAAAATTTTAAGAAAAGATTCAATACAATATAACATAAGCTATAAAATATGAGAAGAATATAAAGTGCAGCATAGCTTAAGGCGTTTTAAATAAAATAAACACTCAAACTGAAATATTGCAAAATTTTTATAATTTTTTATAAAATTTCAATAATATTTTTTTAAAAACCAAGAAAAAGTTTCAAAATTTAAGCTGGAAACAACCAGAATTACAATATTCCTCCCAAAAATAGCAACATTTTTATAAAAACTTTAAAATTTATTAAAAATATTTCTCCAAATAAACACATTTTTCCCGGTTTTAATAGGCTAATACTCTTAAAGAAACATGTTACAAAGTTTACTCTCCACTAGAGGTCGCTTTCGAAATAATTTAATTAATACTTTTGGCCTAAACAAAAGATAAATCCCCTATTATTTACTACAATCTACTGGTAGCTGGATTTTTTTACAATAAACCGGCATTTATTTGCTAAGAATTGTAAAGAAATAAAGAAAATTTATTTAATTATTAATTTATTGTTAAAAAAATACGAAAAAACTAAATAATGCTAGCAGCCACCCTTTTGTCTTGCTCTCTTTTGGTGTTCTCTTCGATAAACAAAAGCCACCCTACGCTCAATTTCAATTCAAATAGGAATCTTTAAAGCCGAGCATCATGACAATATACACGAACAAACACCCACCCAGATAAATGACAACTACAATAACAAAAAATTGAGCACAAATTTTAAATTTGTGAAAGACAAAAAAAAAACTAACCAAAGATGGAAATGTCAAAATTTTAATTTAAAAAAAAAAACTAAAATTAAATTAGATTTCAAAAAATCCTTTAAAAAATTAAGAAATTAAAACGTAATTAAGTGATTTGTTTAAATTAAATACTTTAAAATCTCTTATTTTAACTAAAATCCAGAAAATTTTCAAAAGTACCTTGAGAAAAAAAAGTACCAAACTGCAAATTTACCCATAACATAAAGAAAACTTAGAAAAATTTTTCAAATTTCAGGAAATTTTTCAATATTTTCCTTAAATTCTTTATAAGCTTTAATTTTTGTGCAGAAACAAGAAAAACTAAAAAGTACCTGGGAGCAAAAAAAGTACCAAATTTAAAAATTTTTAATAAAAATAAAAAAAATTCTAAAATTTAAATATATTTCTATTTAATAACAAAATATTTTCCCTTTAATTCATAAAAATGTTTTAATTTCTTATAAAACCAAAGAAAATTAATAAAAGTACTTTAAGGGAAAAAGTACCAAGGTTCAAATTTGAACTAAAAGCAAAGAAATTTGAAAAATTTAATGAAATTGTTGTACATTATTAATCAAATTTGCTATGAATTCTTTAAAAAACCCATATTTCTTAAATAAAAGAAACTTCCAAAAAAGTACTTTAAGGAAAAAAGTACCAAAGTCTAAATTTAAACTAAAAGTGAAAAAATTTCATGAATTTTATAAAATTTTGACACAATAGCCATGAATTTGCTATAGAAATTTAGAAAAGAGTAGTATTTCTCATTAAAATTAAAGAAATTTTTAAAAGTACCTGTAGAAAAAAAGTACCAAATTTCATATTTGAACTGAAATCGAAAAAAATAAGAAACTTTTTAAGAGATTTTCATAGAATTTCCAAAATATTTTCAATAAACTCTTGAAAATTATGCCATTTATTATTAAACCAAAGAAATTAAATAAAGTACCTTAAGAAAAAAAGTACCAACTTTCAAATTTTAACTGTAATACCAAAAAAGTTCAATATTTTTGTAAAATTCTGTATAATATGGAAATATTTTCTTTAAAATTGTTTTATTTTTCATTAAATGAAAGAAGTTTAAAATAGTACCTTGAGAAAAAAAAGTACCAAATCAAAAATTATGAACCTAAAGCCTATAAATTTCTATATTTTGATTACTTTCTGTGCAATATTGAAGTATTTCTTTTAAACTTCCTTATTAAGGGGTTTTATTTTGCTTTAAATCTAAAAATTTTAAAAAAGTACTTTTAGAAAAAAAGTACCAAGATTTAAACTTAAGTTTACTTAAAAGAATTTCAACAAATTTAAAACAAATTTTTTTGAAATATTGTTTAAATTAAAGAAAACATTTCTCCATTCTCTACAAACTAAAGTAATTTTTAGTTTGGTACTAGGGGGAAATAAAAAGTACCAAGTTTTAAAATAAGAATTTGTGGTTAATAAATAAAATTATAAAAATACTTGTAATAACGAACTATTTGTTATTTCAAACACTCAAGGTACTTTTTTTAAAACAAAACCGCAAAATAATTGAAAAAAGTACCTTAAACACAAAAAGTACCAAACTAGAAATTATTAAAATGAGCTTAAACGGGACCAACTTAAATGGATTCAAGTAAGCTGCTTTTGGTAGCATGAGCTTAAACTAAAGATTAAATAAAAAAGTAGTTAGTTTTAAAACTAAACCTATCCAGCCCTGGTTTTAAAGTACTGAGTACTAATGGTACACCCAAGTATTGTATAGCATAAACACATAGAGCATTTAACGGTATAAAATACACTTGCGCTAAAAGTATGCCGGCTGCTCTAGAACACACACATACATGCACATACATATGTAGATGATATGTATGCAGCCACCACCATTATTATTGAGATACTTTAGAACGAGCTAAACGTTGTTGTATCGTTCATTACAAATTTTAATTTCCAACCAGACTTTAACAGCTTAACACTAGTAGCGACAGGATTTGGAAGTTTAGTTCCTTATAAATTTCCGAGTGTGTTCGTTTGTTGTCGGTAAAGCGCGCGCTTGCTAAATTAAAAAGAAAAATAAAACAAAAATTGAAAATAAAGAAAGAATTGGAAACAAATTCTAACTGAAACAACACCAGAAGAAGAAGAAGCAGCAAAAGGAAGAGCAGCAAAAAAATTTTTATATTAAAAACCAGCAATTTTTTTGTATAGTATATAGTATACTTTTGGGCGCGGCAAAGCAAGCAAATGAAGAGTTTTTTTCGTCAAAAGAATTACTTTAATTTTTTCTAACAAAATTTATATATAAATTAATAAATAAATTTAAATTAAAAAAAAATACCCAACGCACAAATTTAAAATAATAGTAATTTATCAAATAAATCAAAACAGTTGCACAAATCAAACCATAAAATAGCAAAGAAAAAAAAACCAACTAAAATAAAACTAAAATTTATAAAAAGTTGTGAATTTTTTTCCAAATATCTAAAAGAAAACTAAACGAAAATCATAAATTATAACGTCCTTATAAAGAAAACCAACGAATCATTTAATTAAATTAACTTAACAGTTAAAAAAAAGGAAAAAACTAGATTTTTGCATTAAAATAAAATATAAAAAAAAACTTTTTTACTTATACTAGCAAATAGTTTAAAAAAAAATCATACATACAACCCACCACTTTTTCAAACAAAAAAAAATCCCCTCTTTAAAATAAACTATTTAAAAAAAATAACACACATTTTCTTACAAGACAGCGCCCTAGTTGAAAACTTTTCAACAAACAACCAAGCAATCCTTAAGAAAACATTCCGCTAATTTATTAACCAAAATAAAATAAAGAAAAAAACATATATATTATTAAAATATATATATATATTAAAAGAAAGGAAACAACAACCAAAAAAGTGTGATTTAATTTTTTTACCTGCTAATTAATTTAAGCTTAAAAAGTAGTAGACACAACCAAAAAACAAAAACTTTTTTAGAAAAAAAAAAAAACTATATTTTTTATCATAAACTAAAAACATACATACATACTGTAACTTTTGTGACCAAAATCGCCAAATTTTTATAAAAAAAAATTAAAAAAAAAACTTTTACCTCTATATCTTAAATAAATCTCTTACACACTCTAAAACACACACATAAAAAAAAACTCATACAAAATGGGCGGTTGCGCATCCAAGGATAAAAAGGACAAAGTGGTTGATGGTGATGCTAACGCCGCTAATGCTACTGAAAACACCGCTGACGGTGACAAAGCATCAGCCGCCACTACAACTGAGGCAAATGGTGATGCTACCACTAATGCAGAAGGGTGTGTATTTTTCTTTTTCAAATTTTTTCCATAGATATGGGTTTTGATATGAATTTTCATTTAAAATTTTGGGGGTTTTGAAAGTTTGTTAAACAAAAAAATAGGTTATTGTATGGGAACATTAAATATTGTATATTTTTATATATCATTAGAAAGCTTGGAATATTTTTTTGTAGCAAAAAGTGTTAAATTTGTAACAGTTTTTACAATTTAATTAATTTTTTTTTTTGTCAATTTTCACTATATTAATCTTCTTAAATAGTTCTTTAAGAAACCAAAAGCTTTTAAAAACCATTTTGTTTTGAGTTTTTTTAAACTCCTTAAAATTTTATTGAAAATTTTAAACTTTTAGTTTAAGTTTAAAAAAAAATTAGGGAGGGGTCGCTAACATATGTCTTTATATACTTAATACTATATAAAATAAAGTTTACGAGTTCTTCACCATATGTTTAAACTTTATAGCAAAAGAAATTTTGAAATTATTTTGTAAAAATTTTGAAATTTTTTGCAATTTTTAAGAAATTTCAAATGATTTTCAAGGAATTAAAGAAAATTTTGAAAGTTTATATCTAATCTAAAGAAATTTTAAAAATATTTAACGGTTTTACAAATATTTTCAAAATCTTAAAACTTTTGAAACCAAATTTGTTAAAGAAATTGATCTATTATATAATTTTAAAGACAATTTTCAATATCTTTAACAAATTGCATCGAAAATCAAACTGTAAAATTTGAATCTGTTATAGAAATTGTTTTTAAAACTTTATTTTGTTACGAAAATTGGCCATATTTTCAAAAATTTTGTCTTAAAACTACTGAAAACCAATAATGAACCATTATAACCTAAAAATTTTGACTTTGACCGTTATTTCAACTCAAAGGTGGGCCCCCTCTTCCCCCTACAAATGTGACAATCAACAGGTTTTTGTCTCCATCTTTGTTTACATTGACTCGAACCGAAGAAGGCTTGACCAAAGCCCCGCAAAACAAAGCAATGTAATCGAAGGTCTCATACAACTTGTCCCTTTTAAAAGGGGGATTGAAGTTTTCTTTGACTTTGACGTTCAATAACTATCGATCAATGATCTTCACATCAAAGTCTCTACTTCTCCAAAAGCTTTAAAGTTAAGATAAAAAACTTTAATCATTCAAACTTAATTTATAACAGAGACCTTTCAAAATCCAAAAATAGAATCAAATAGATCTCAATGAGTAAAACTGATCTTAAAAATTTTCTATTAAAATCGAAAATTTCCATACATTTTTACATAATCATAAAACTAATAACTTGTAAATCATATTATAGATCAATATAGAACAATTTGAAAGATTTTCAAAAGCGTAAACAAAATATCAATTCACAGGGAGAGAGTAAAAACTTTAATGATCAATAATGATCTAAAATTTCTCCTTTGAAAACAAAAGTTTCAAATCCCAAAGTCGATCATAGAAAAAACTTTTTGAAAATCCTATTAATCTCCAAAAATATAAAATTTTTGGAATATTTTAAAATTTGAACAAATTCTTTGAAAAAAATTCAAAATTCTCAAAAATTAAAAAAAAAAAAACAAAATGTGTTAAATTTTTCTTTTAAAATCCAAAATTTCAAACGATTTTATTCATGATCATAGAACAAACATCTTAATACTTCTATTAATCTATGAAAAGATTAAAATTTTTGAAAATTTTTCAAATTTGGAAAAAAATTCTTTAAAGAAGCTCAAAATTTTAAAGAAATTCTCAAAATTTTAAGGAAATTCTCAAAATTTTAAAGAAATTCTCAAAATTTTAAGGAAATTCTCAAAATTTTAAAGAAATTCTCATAATTTTAAAGAAATTCTCAAAATTTTAAAGAAATTCTCATAATTTTAAAGAAATTCTCATAATTTTAAAGAAATTCTGAAAAATGTTAAAGAATTTTCTTGAAAATAATTTTAAATCTGTTAAAGATAGCATGAAATTTGTTTAAATTTTAAAGATTTCTTAAAAATTCCACATTTCAAAAGATTTGAAAATCCTATACAAACAAATTTTCTCAAAAATCATTCTGAATCTGATAAAATTTGTTCAAATTGCGGAAAATTTTGTTAAATTCAAAATTTTGCATAAATATTTCTTAAAAAATTCCAAAATTTAAAACAATTTTCAAACTTACACAAAGAAGTTTTGTTGGAAATCATTCGAGATTTCAAAAATGTGGCAAACTGCTAGAAAAATTTTATAAAATTAAAAGTTTTAAACAAATTACTCCTAAAATTACAAAGAAATTTCTTTAAAATCTTTAAGAATTTTAATAAAATTTGTAGAATTTGGTATAAATTTATAAAAATTAAAGAAATTATCTGAAAAGTTCTCAAAATTTAAACAAAATGTTAAACAATTTGAAAAAAAACTCATAACTGATTTAAAAATTACTAAATTGTAACAATTTAAATTGAAAAGTCTTCAAAATATTGCAATTTCAAAAACTTTTAATTAAAAATTCATCATTTTCAAAAGCACTTGCTTTAATATTTGTATTAAAATCAAATTTTCCTATTACCATTTCAAAAGTAGTCTTAGGATAGAACGGATATAGAACTTAATAATAATCACAAGTATCTCTTCTACCATGAAAAATTTAAATTTTTCTATAAAATTTTATTGTCAATTTCTTTTAAAACAGAACACATTTACTTAGTTTTTATTCATCATTATTATTATTAACAAGACCCCACTTAATTTGTTTAAGTACTTGGCAAATTTATATATCTACTTAAAATACAATATATTTTTACAAGGAGCATGTCATACAGTCATAATATAGACTCGTAATCTTGTTTAACTATCATCAACGTCGTCTTCATAGTCATACACTTATCATCATCATCCTCATTGTCATCATAATCAACATTTTTATGATGGTTTTGGTTTGAAGATGTTGTTTTCAAAAAAAAAAAGAATAAAAAGTAACGTATGATGGACAGACAGACAGTGAAAAGCTTATTTGTTAATTATAATTATAAACTTCCAATTAAACTTTATTCTTATGACTTTAGTAAGAGTAGAATGTATTAACTTAGTGACTCAACTTTTACTTATCTTAATTATGGTCTTCATTTAACTCTTATTGTCAAGTAAAGTATACACCCTAAAATGTTAAAATCTTCCCCCTATTAATCCCCTTAAAAACTTTTGGAAATACTCTAATGTTTTAAAACAGTTCCTAGTCCTTTACTTTTTAAATTAAAGCAAAGAAAGGAGTTGTTTTTCAGAAAAAAAAGTTGACGTCATATTAATTTTAGACTTTATAGTCTGGAAGAGTAGGGTAGAATAGACTCTGGACAAACTAAAGCAAGTACAAAAAAAGAAAAGCATACAATTATGCAGGCATGCATGATTTGTCATACATATAGCTAAAGCCAAGAGCAACCACCAGTTTAATAAATCGCGTGCTAAAAATGCATAAAAAGTCATTCCTCACAACAACAGACATAAAAGCAACAGTCGCCGTTGATGAGGAAAAATCTCCACCCCTGCCCATAAAAAAAAAAAAACAGGAAAAACCCAAAACAAAGTGGTCACACAATTCTTACCCATACCGGCATTAGCATGTTTTTATATCTACTCACCTAACTTATACATAATTTTGTACTATATACTATTTAAACTCTGGTTATATGTATGTATACAACAAAAAAAAAAAGACGAAGTATTCATTACACACAAAAGACAATGACAGCGGCACTCCTTTAAAAAGCGCATGTCACGTGTCCGGCAGCTCTTCCTTTTTCTAAGGGAGAGTTTTTCCCTTGTATGTAAACTCATACCCAAAAAAAAAACACCCTTTTCCTAGGAAAATATTTATTTTGCTGCAAAACTAAACGATGACGAAGTTTTCAGCGCTGAATAAGCAACACAAAAGAGTTCATTGCAAAAAAACGAGGAAAAACAACCCTGAACTTGTTTTATAAAAAAATAATCATTAAATTAACATCTTTATCAGATTTTAAACAAAATTTAGCTAAATTAAGCAAAATCTACAATATTCTACAAAAGGCGGGAAATTTTTTTAAACTGGCAACGCCTTTTTATGAAGCATTTTGCTTCAAACTAAGAAAGCTCTAAAAATTATTAACTTTTTCATCATTTTCAAATATTAAAATGCCATTTAATTAGATTTTAAAGAAAATTTCAGCAAAAACCCTTAAATTTGTTTAAAAAGTGGGAAATTTTCTAACTGGCAACGCCTTTTTTTCTTAAAACTTTAAAACATTATTCTTTGTTTAAAACCCTAAAAAAATTTGAAATTAAAAAAAATTTAACCATTTTATAAAAAAAATTTTAGCAAAAAACTGAAAAATGCGTTTCTTAATAAGAATTTGTCATTTAACACAAGTTAGAGTAAAAACACCCCAAACAAATCTTAAACTTAAAAGATTCTGTCAAAAATGGTGTGAAACTGCAACACTGTAAGAAGCTTTTAAATAGCAAAAAGTTTTAATAAAACTTCACAATAAATTTAACAGTTTAACTAATTTCTCTATTTTCTCGTTATCTCTTATCATTTTAGTAAACAAGACACCATGGTTGATGCTGCTGTTCTTGCTAAATTGGAAGAAGGTTTCGCCAAATTGGCTGCCTCCGACTCCAAGTCCTTGTTGAAGAAGTACTTGACCAAGGAAGTCTTCGATAATCTAAAGAACAAGAAGACCCCCAGCTTCGGTTCTACTTTGTTGGATTGCATCCAATCCGGTTTGGAGAACCACGATTCCGGTGTCGGTATCTATGCTCCCGATGCTGAAGCCTACACAGTATTCGCTGATCTTTTCGATCCCATCATTGAAGACTACCATGGTGGTTTCAAGAAGACCGACAAGCACCCTGCCCGTGACTTCGGTGATGTCTCTGTCTTCTCCAACTTGGACCCCAACAATGAATTCGTCATCTCTACCCGTGTCCGTTGCGGTCGCTCTTTGCAAGGCTACCCCTTCAACCCCTGCTTGACCGAAGCCCAATACAAGGAGATGGAAGCTAAGGTCTCCTCCACCTTGTCCGGTTTGGAAGGTGAATTGAAGGGTAAATTCTACCCCTTGACTGGCATGGAAAAGGCCGTTCAACAACAATTGATCGATGATCACTTCTTGTTCAAGGAAGGTGATCGTTTCTTGCAAGCCGCCAACGCCTGCCGCTACTGGCCCTCTGGCCGTGGTATCTACCACAACGACAACAAGACCTTCTTGGTCTGGTGCAATGAGGAAGATCATTTGCGTATCATCTCCATGCAAATGGGTGGTGATTTGGGTGAAGTATACCGTCGTTTGGTGACCGCTGTCAACGAAATTGAAAAGCGCATCCCCTTCAGCCACGATGACCGTTTGGGCTTCTTGACCTTCTGCCCCACCAACTTGGGTACCACCATCCGTGCCTCCGTGCACATCAAGGTCCCCAAATTGGCCGCCAACAAGGCTAAATTGGAAGAAGTTGCCGCCAAATACAACTTGCAAGTCCGCGGTACCCGTGGTGAACACACTGAAGCCGAAGGTGGTATCTACGATATCTCCAACAAGCGCCGCATGGGTCTCACCGAATTCCAAGCCGTCAAGGAAATGTACGATGGTATTGCTGAACTCATCAAGATCGAAAAGAGCATGTAAGGTGTTACAACTCTGCAACCCCTTAAACCCCAAAAAACATAGAGCCTACGGCTAGGCCAAACATCTTTGTAGCCGCTAGATAACCAACGTTCGGTGGAATTAATTACAACAACATCAACACACTTTATAATAATGTTCTCTTGCTTTTCCCTTTAAAAATTCATCTGTAAAACGTTTTTGAATTAAAGAGTGTGCGTTTCTTGGCATTTTTCTTTTTTGAATTTAACGTTCTTTAAGTTTTCTTTTCCTAATTTAAATATTTTGTGTTTCATTTTGTAACATCTCTATGTAACTCTCTCTTAGGCAAAGCAACACACAAACAAGATCTCTGTGTCGGAAATTGAGAACATTATTTTTAACCACCAATATTTTTGTTTTTAAGTTACAAACACTTTTTATTTTATTTATTGAGAACAATATATATTTAATTAATAAAATTTAAAAACCAAAAAATAAAAAAAAATATTAAAAAACACAAAAACAACAACTTTGAGTTATAAACAAAGCATGAGAAGAGATTTGTATTTGTATTAACAGCAACAAACACATAGAACTACAACAACAACTTTAAGTAAAATCCTAAACAAAAACATTGATAAACAACAACAACAACAAAAAAAAACAAATTAATGAACACAAAATATTTTTAATTTTAAGTCTTAAGTTTATAAAAAGAATTAATTATTAAAAATAATAAAAAATTAAAAAAACAAATTGGTAGAAGTTTTATTTTCATACAGATTTCCGTTTCCTGATAAGAATAACAAAAAATTTTGAACTGGCAATGCTTTTTTTCATCAGTGTTGCCACTAGTTTATAGCATGATCTGTCTAACTTATGTCAACAATCTGGCTACTTTTTCTATTTGATAGTTGAACAAGGTTATCATTTATTTATTATTTAGTGAACAGTCGGACGTCTGATTAAACTTAACTCTTTCTTTTGTGAGTAAATTGAGTGTATTTTTGGGAATAAAAATGGTTAAAGCCTGGTTAATGGATAATGAAACCACCGATCAACGTTTGGAACATCATCGTAATCCTCCAACATTTATTTCATTGGAAGAATTATTCTCTAAAACCGGTGTGGAACATTTTCTGGTATGTTCGTTTATTAAATGCAATTGTTTTTGTTTTGTGGATGAAGAGTGGTGAAGGGGATTCTTTCCTATCTGTTGTCAAGTTGTTGTTTTTATAGAGTATCTTTTGTTAGGGTTTGCCATAGTTGAATTTTATGATAGTTCCCCATTTGGGAATAACTAAACCTTTTTTGAAAACGACTAAGTGGTCAAGACTACAGTATAGGGTACACTATGGAATACACTATAGACTATAGACTAGACTATAGACTAGACTGTAGACTAGACTATAGACAAGACTAGACTATAGACTAAACTATAGACTAGAATATAGATAGACAAGACTATACACAATCTATAGACTAGACTATACGATAGACAAGACTATAGACTAGAAGAGATAGACAAGATGGACAACTAGATAGACTATAGGCAAGACTATAGACCAGACTATAGACAAGACTAAACTATAGACTAGAATATAGATAGACAAGACTATACAATCTATAGACTAGACTATACGATAGACAAGACTATAGACTAGAAGAGATAGATAAGATGGACAACTAGATAGACTATAGGCAAGACTATAGACCAGACTATAGGCAAGAATATAGACCAGACTATAGACTAGACTATAGACAAGACTAAAGACTAGACTATAGACAAGACAATAGACAAGACTATAGACAAGACTATAGACCAGACTATAGACTAGACTACAGAGAAGATTAAAGACTAGACTATAGGCAAGACTATAAACAAGACTATAGACAAGACTAAAAACTAGACTAGAAATCGACTAAGTGGTCAAGACTACAGTATAGGGTACACTATGGAATACACTATAAACTATAGACTAGACTATAGACTAGACTGTAGACTAGACTATAGACTAAACTATAGACAAGACTAGACTATAGACTAAACTATAGACTAGAATATAGATAGACACGATCTATAGACTAGACTATACGATAGACAAGACTATAGACTAGAAGAGATAGACAAGATGGACAACTAGATAGACTATAGGCAAGACTATAGACCAGACTATAGACTAAACTATAGACTAGAATATAGATAGACAAGACTATACAATCTATAGACTAGACTATACGATAGACAAAACTATAGACTAGAAGAGATAGACAAGATGGACAACTAGATAGACTATAGGAAAGACTATAGACCAGACTATAGACTAGACTATAGACAAGACTAAAGACTAGACTATAGACAAGACTATAGACAAGACAATAGACAAGATTATAGACAAGACTATAGACCAGACTATAGACTAGACTACAGAGAAGATTAAAGACTAGACTATAGGCAAGACTATAAACAAGACTATAGACAAGACTAAAAACTAGACTATAGACTAGATTATGGACTGAGCTATAGTTTAGACTATATTATAGTCTATAGATTATGGACTGAGCTATAGTTTAGACTATATTATAGTCTATATAGAGTATATTATAAACTAGAATATATACAAGACTATAGACAAGACTTTTGAATAAACTTAACGGACTAGATAATCGGCTAGTCTATACTATCGACTATACACTATAGAGAATATGCTATCTACTAGTCCATAAACTAGACTTTATTTATAATAGACTTTCATATAGAAATTTCGTAGAGCCAAAGTTTGGTTTTCTAAGCCTCTGAGAGAAATTAATAACGTAAAAAATCATTTCAGATCAATGCCGATAACTATCAAAATGATAATGTTTTACAAAACTTGCGTAAAAAACGAAACTATAGTTATGAAGATGAAATTACCTGTTCGGAAAAATGTTTAGTCGATTATGCCAATAAATTGAAATCATTCTTTACTGAACATTTACATACCGATGAAGAAATACGTTTGGTTTTAGATGGTTCCGGTTATTTCGATGTAAGAGAGTAAGTATTCTATTACTAAATACATAAAAAGTTTAAAAAATTTTACTTTTATAAAATAATTACAGCAATGAAGAAAATTGGATTCGCATTGCGGTAACTAAAGGTGATTTAATTATTATACCAGCTGGCATTTATCATCGTTTTACTTTGGATACTAATGTTAGTATGATTTCGATATTTTTCTTATAAATATTAGCTATAAATTATGAATTTATTTCTTATCTTTCAGAATTATATTAAAGCCAAACGTTATTTTGTGGGTGAACCTGTTTGGTTACCATATAACCGCCCTGCTGATGATATGGATTGTCGCAAGGAATATTTGAAACATCAACAGGAGGGTTTTAAACAATTAAATAAAGTTTAAATGTTGAAATTTTAAGATGTGACTAATTGCAGCTTTTATTTTTAAACAAATAACAATTTACGTTTTATATAAAAAAATTTATGTTATTTAGTTGTTAGCTTGTCTTACTATTAATTAGTACCCTAAAATTTGATATTACTAAATTGTGTAATAAAAATAAAATATAATTTTATTGGAAAAATGTGAATTAGTTCATTAATTTCTTTGTAAGGTTATTAATGATTAATAAAAGTTTTTCAAAAATTTGCAACATAAACCATAAGCAAAAAAGAAAACAAATGCCAATAATGCCGAAATAAAGGTTGGTATACCATTAGTAGACTAAGGGCGGGTTTCTTACTACTCAGTTAAACTAGGCTTAACTTGCTGTTAGATTAAACTCGGAACAAATTTAAGCGGACGTTAACCGATGATTGTGTTTTTCAGTTATGGATTTAAGTTCAGTTAACTTTGTTAGTATTGCCAACTTTTACTCAAAAACATAAACAATGAACAGCTGTTTTTTGCAAATAATACTTTTGTAAAATGAAAAATTTTGGAAAAGTGTTAAATAAACATTTAAAACAATAATAAATAAAACAAAACATATCAGAAAATTGCAATTTACTTAAAATATTAAGTTTTTGTTCTTCCGACATCATTGTTTTATTGTTTTTGTTAATTGTGTCTTCTCACTTATAACTTTAAGTTTAATTGGCCAATAACACTCAGTTAAACTAAGAGAATAAGTAACGTTACTGTTTACTGAAAAACACAAAACATATATTAAACTAGGTTTAAACATCTATCTATCTATCTATCTATCTATCTATCTATCTATCTATCTATCTACCTACCTACCTATCTATCTATCTATCTATCTATCTATCTATCTATCTATCTATCTATCTATCTATCTATCTATCTATCTATCTATCTATCTATCTATCTATCTACCTATCTATCTATCTATCTATCTATCTATCTATCTATCTATCTATCTATCTATCTATCTATCTATCTATCTATCTATCTATCTATCTATCTATCTATCTATCTATCTATCTATCTATCTATCTATCTATCTATCTATCTATCTATCTATCTATCTATCTATCTATCTATCTATCTATCTATCTATCTATCTATCTATCTATCTATCTATCTATCTATCTATCTATCTATCTATCTATCTATCTATCTATCTATCTATCTATCTATCTATCTATCTATCTATCTATCTATCTATCTATCTATCTATCTATCTATCTATCTATCTATCTATCTATCTATCTATCTATCTATCTATCTATCTATCTATCTATCTATCTATCTATCTATCTATCTATCTATCTATCTATCTATCTATCTATCTATCTATCTATCTATCTATCTATCTATCTATCTATCTATCTATCTATCTATCTATCTATCTATCTATCTATCTATCTATCTATCTATCTATCTATCTATCTATCTATCTATCTATCTATCTATCTATCTATCTATCTATCTATCTATCTATCTATCTATCTATCTATCTATCTATCTATCTATCTATCTATCTATCTATCTATCTATCTATCTATCTATCTATCTATCTATCTATCTATCTATCTATCTATCTATCTATCTATCTATCTATCTATCTATCTATCTATCTATCTATCTATCTATCTATCTATCTATCTATCTATCTATCTATCTATCTATCTATCTATCTATCTATCTATCTATCTATCTATCTATCTATCTATCTATCTATCTATCTATCTATCTATCTATCTATCTATCTATCTATCTATCTATCTATCTATCTATCTATCTATCTATCTATCTATCTATCTATCTATCTATCTATCTATCTATCTATCTATCTATCTATCTATCTATCTATCTATCTATCTATCTATCTATCTATCTATCTATCTATCTATCTATCTATCTATCTATCTATCTATCTATCTATCTATCTATCTATCTATCTATCTATCTATCTATCTATCTATCTATCTATCTATCTATCTATCTATCTCATCTATCATCTTCTATCTATCTATCTATCTTACTATCTATCTATCTCTATCTATCTATCTATCTATCTATCTATCTATCTATCTATCTATCTATCTATCTATCTATCTATCTATCTATCTATCTATCTATCTATCTATCTATCTATCTATCTATCTATCTATCTATCTATCTATCTATCTATCTATCTATCTATCTATCTATCTATCTATCTATCTATCTATCTATCTATCTATCTACTATCTATCTATCTATCTATCTATCTATCTATCTATCTATCTATCTATCTATCTATCTATCTATCTATCTATCTATCTATCTATCTATCTATCTATCTATCTATCTATCTATCTATCTATCTATCTATCTATCTATCTATCTATCTATCTATCTATCTATCTATCTATCTATCTATCTATCTATCTATCTATCTATCTATCTATCTATCTATCTATCTATCTATCTATCTATCTATCTATCTATCTATCTATCTATCTATCTATATATCTATCAACCAATCTCTCTTCGCCTTATTATCGATACGTCTTGGTCCGGCCCTTCTTTGCATCGGGAAATTAAAGTTTCAATTTTTTATTACAAATATATTTCTCAAAACTCCTCATGCAAACCCTATTTATTTAAATACCAAATAATACAACCCTTAATACAAATACCCAGTAACAATCTGGCTACACCTCTCCATTTTACAACAGCTGTTAGCTTTGACATTTGTTTGTTTACATTTATGCATTCGTTTTGAAAACACTTTAAATTGTTGTTGGTTTTTTAAACAAAATAACCGGCCATAAATTAAAGAAAAACTAATAAATATGCAAAGTTACAATAAAAACTAGCATGATAAACAGACATGTTTACAGATGCAACCCTCATGAAAAGATTCCAGAAAGATGCCGGTATTGAGGAAAACAACAAAAGATAAAGTGTATCTATAGTACATTTGTATATGGAATAAATGACCTTTAAGCGACATTGAAGATGACAATAAACAGCTGGGGTCGCATTGGGAGGGTGTAGAAAATATTGTTGAAAACAAATTTTTATTTTAACAGTAGCAAAAGTAGCAGCAGCAGCTAGTCGGCGGTCGCAAGAACAATACAACACGTAGATTGAAAACGGTTATCAAGAGAGCAGAAAAGAAAAAATATTTTATAGAATTTTTCTGGTAGGTGAAAAGATTATTTTTTTAGAGGATTAGGTGAAAATAATATTATTATCAATTGGAATTTGTATTAAAAGTAATAAAATTTTGAAAATAACTTTAGAGAATGTCATTAACCGGGGAAAGTGTAGCTACCACAGTGTATGAGGGTCAAAAGCCTGGTACCAGTGGATTACGCAAAAAGGTAAGTTGCTAGTTTTAAATGGAAATTAATGTAGAGGAATTATATTCTAACATTTTCTTAATTATTTTGGAAAACAGGTCAAAGTTTTTACTCAACCCAACTATACCGAAAATTTTGTGCAATGTATTTTGGATGCCAATGGTGAAGCCCTCAAAGGCTCTACTCTGGTAGTGGGTGGTGATGGCCGCTTCTATTGTAAAGAGGCTGCTGAAATTATCATACGCATGTGTGCTGCCAATGGTGTAAGTATTTTTTAGATAGAAAATATTGTAAAGGTTTCCTTTAATTCATAAAATAAATTATTTTTAAGGTCTCCAAACTTTTGGTGGGTCAAAATGGCATCCTCTCCACCCCCGCTGTTTCCAGTTTGATTCGCCATAACAAGGCTTTGGGTAAGTTTATATTTTTGTGATTGTTTTTAAGTTTGTTTATAGAATTTTAACGAGCTTAAGTTTTCTATCTATTAATTCATTTTAATCTTATCAGTTTGTTTAACTTTCCCATCAGCTTACAATTACATGTTATTACAGTCAGTTAGTTTATCAATTTATTGCTAAGATTTAGTTATCAGGTGCACGATTTTGTTTATTAAAAACAAAAACTTTCATATACAAATTTGCAATATACAAATGAAGGTCAGGTTCGAGTTGACATTGTCCGAGGTTTGCAAAAGTCAATAATGAACAAATTTAAAATATTAAGTTGTCAAACAGTTAATGAAAGATCACACACTGATCATTCATACTGTTCAGTGGGATATATGATAAACAATTGTGATTGTACACATACAATATTCGATCAAAACATATCACTAATAAAACACTCAACTCAACTTTTGTCTCTTAGGGCCATTATCTCAACCTCCGGTTATCGTTTAAAATGGGGGTTAGAGTCACATTTTCTTTATTTTTCTCTTTTAAGGACAAGTTTTTCTAATGGAGTAAGAAAATTTTTATCTTTGAGAGATAAAAAGATAAATTTTCTTTATAGAAAATTTGTCTCAATGAGACCTTTTTTCTTTATAGAAAATTTTTCGTAAAGAGACCATTTTTTCTAGGAAATTGGTCTATTTGACAGATATTTTCTTTATATTTTTTATCTCAATCAGACGCAATTTCTTCATAGGAAATTAGTTTCCAAGAGACTCGGCAGCACCTCTATAAAAATGCCCTAAACTATTCCACTAATTTGTTTACTTAACTCTCCTCTAGGTGGCATTGTTTTAACCGCTTCCCACAATCCCGGCGGTCCCGATAACGATTTCGGCATTAAATTCAATTGTGAAAATGGTGGCCCAGCTCCTGATGCTTTCACCAACAAAATCTATGAACTATCTATGGGTATTAAGGCCTATAAAATTGTCAAGGGTCTACAGGTGGATATCAGCAAAATAGGTTCCAACACATTCACCGTCAATAATCAACCATTTGTGGTGGAAGTAATTGATTCGGTGGCCAATTATGTCAGTCACATGAAGGAAATCTTTGATTTCGCTAAATTGCGTGATTATGTTAGTGGCAAGACAACGGGTAAACCTTTAAAAATGCGCATTGATTCTTTGAATGGTGTTACCGGATCCTATGTACGTGAAATTTTCCTTAATTGTTTGGGTGCTGCCGAGAATTGTGTGGTGCACACTACACCCTTGCCCGACTTTGGTGGTTTACATCCTGATCCTAATTTGACATACGCCAAGGATTTGGTGGATGCAGTAGCCAATGGTGATTATGATATTGGTGCTGCTTTTGATGGTGATGGTGTAAGTTGTTTTATGGTGTTTTAATAATTAAACAATATTTCTTAT